TACTACGCTCCAAACACCATATGAAACACTTGCAGAGAATCAGGGTATCGGACCCCAAAGCTTGTGTTTTAATCACTAGGCTACATTGCCCTCCCATCTTCCCCATAGAAGGCAGAGACTGGTGTATTCACTTTTATCTCTGTAATGCCCAACAGTGCCTGCCATACAACAATGCTTATAAAATGAATGAATAATAGTATGGTACACATTTCTAAAAATTCCTATCCATTGGTCACTCAAACACTAACCTAGGTGCTGCTGTGAAGAGATTTTACAGATGTAATTTGAAGTCCCAAATCAGTTGATTATAAGGTACAGAGATTTTTCCAGGTGGGCCTGACCCAAACAGATGAGCCCTTTAGAAACAAAGGAGGGCACATCATGCAATGAGCACTGGGTGTTATATGCAACTGATGAATTGTTGAACACGACATCTGAAACTAATGATGTACTATGTGTTGGCTAATTGAACATAATAATAAAAAAAATTAACAAAAAAATAAAAATATATAAAAAAAAAAGGAAACAGAGTTTTCTCCAGCTAGTGGAAGTCAGAGAGCTTCAAAGAAAGAGGAATTGCCACACTATTACTGGCTTGAAGATGAAGGAGATACGTGATGCAGAATGCAGGCAACCTCTAGAAGCTGAAAGCAGCCCCTGGCTGACAGCCAGCAAGGAAACAATGATCACAGGGAGGTAAATACTGCAAACAACCAGTAAGCTTGAACAACCCGAGCTCCATATGAGAACCAGAGCCCCAGCCAACACCTGCTTTCAACCTGGTTGAGAGCCTCAGCAGAGACTCTAGACACCCTGATCCAGACTTCTGATCTACAGAACTATAAGACAATGAATGAGTGCTGTTAGAAGCCACTAAGTTTGTGGTGATTTGTTGTGCAGTGAGAGAAAACAAATACAAAGGAGGTTTCCAATTCTATGGAGATGCTGGTGGTCAGACTGCTTTCTGCAGCTCCCACATGTTCCACTGAGCTTTACAAGAAATGAGTGTTGGTTGTGATCCAACACCAGGGAGATATGGGTGGAGGAAGTCCATGCCCATCTAGAAATCAATCAGAATCTGGCAAGGGAAGTAATGTTCTACAGTGGGTAGAGTGCTGGATGAGAAATATGAAGTCCTGGGTCCTACTCCCAGATTTGCCAATGCCTCACTCCGTGACCCTGGATAAATCACCTTATGTCTCACATCTGTAGATCTTTCATCTGTGAGATGGGGATAGTCATCCCTCTCCCATCCATTTTACAGGACTGTAAATATAAGATCAAGTAAGATAAAGAGTCCAACAAGCCATAGAATTTGTGACCAATTCTAGGGGAATATAGAGATTCCTCAATTGCTTAGGTACTTTGGGGAAGAGTTGTGCCAAGTTACAAGACTAATAAAATTCAGGTGACTGGGCATACCTCCAAGGGCCAGATCACAGCTATTCCTTCCCTACTAAGGAATTTATCCTGTAGCTCCCAGCCAGAATAATCCTCACAAAAATATATGCCTCATGTTTCAACAGCACTTTTTAAAGTGATTTTGCCTCTACCATTTTAATTCCAATAGCTTTTATCAGTTAAAGGAAAAGAAACGACTAAGTCTAGTACTGAAAGTTTTGGTTTCTCACCATGACATATGGTTAATCTCACCCATTACACAGAGAAGACTGAGGCCCAGCTGGGCAGGCAACTTGCCAAGGTTATGGCTGGGGCTGGTTAGTGAAAGAGCAAAGACACTCATTCCCAGTCATGGCCTTTATTAATTCCAGTTCCCTACTTTTGGTATGGAACTGGGAAAATACAGAGTTCGTGGATAGAGGCCCAGCTTTGCCTGTACCAGGTCTGAAATGAAGAAGGGCGTAGCCTTACACTCAAGTTCCTATCATGTGGATCAAATGCAAATGAAGCATTGGAATCAGGTCACATTTTGAAGAGCCTCCCCGTGACCCTCTAGTTATTCCATGGATGACACTTGCTGGCTATTAAACAATAGACTCCTTCTTTGCTATCTTTATTAAGTAGGTGGGGATGTGGGGAACAGTGTGCAGGCTAAGCTGCTCTCAACACCTAGCAGATAAATATTAATTAAAGGAGAACAGGGAAGAAGGAGCCATTGGCTTGGAACTTTCTTGGGAGGGCTTTGAGTTTCACTAGATGATCCCCAACTTGGGATACCTTAGCTAGGTCTCTCAGTTCAGTCATGTTGGAAAAGGAGGTAGCCATCCTGAACACTTGGTTTGAGGCTATGACTCCAGGCATCCTGGGCTATAAGCAAGTTTGGATTCTCTTGGCCCTGAAAAATATGCCCAATCTCTAGAATCCAATGTGAATAGAACTGACAGGTTATGAAAGAGGTGACATTCATGTATTCATTGTTATTGAGGCCCATCCTGTGCTAGGTGCTATAAGGTTCTTTACTCTTGTGGAGCTTATGATCCAGGGGAACAACAGACTATCAACAATCACACAGGGATCAGATTTCAACTGCAATGTGAGCTGTATGGGGCTCTGAGATTCTTAAGTCTGAATGCTGAAAATGTACTGGGTAAGGTGAGGTCTGAAGGATGAATAGCGTTGATGCAATAATCAGGGGGAAGAGTGGCATGTGATAAGGGTGTGAGTCTTTTGAGTAGGAAGAACCAAACAAAGCCCAATGTAACCAGAGTACAGAGAGCATGTTGTGGAGACACTGGAGAGCAAGTCAGGGACCAGACCACACAGGGCCTTGAGGGTCACCAATGAGTTTGAATTTTATTCCAAGTGTAAGAGAAGGGCTTTCATGGATTTTACACAAAGAAGCAACATGATACAATTAATATTTTTATAAAGATCACTTAGGCTGATTAGGCAAAGGAATGGGAGGACAAGGGGCTGCTGCATGGAGGGAAGTCTAGTTTAGATGCTACTGTGGTCACTCAGACTTGGGAAAAGGGCAGCATCTTCAACACAGCCCTGGAACACTGCTATTTACCACCTCCTAAGGCAAAAGAGCACTGGATTAGTTATCAGAAGACTGGTGTGATTTTGAGTACAGATGTATACTAGTCTTGGGGCATGGGGAGAATAGTTTTGCCTTTATGGGTCTCATTTTGCTTGACTGCCCAATGGAAGCCATGCAGCCTGGTCTACCTACTTATGATTTCAAATCACAGAAACTCAGAGATGGGAGAGATGGGAGGAGTATGGAGAAGGCTGACCCCTTGTGATGTTTGACCTTTCCTCTAAGTAGACTTACGTCCCTAGCACTTTGTACCTGGGGGGGACTAAGAGTGGGCACAAGATACAGCATCTCTGTAAATGGTCTACCACTTGAACATCTTCAGAAATGGCGAAACTCACTCTCACCCTCAGGATAGCCAACTCATTGTTGCACCACCCTACCCATCAAATACCCACTTCTTTGTATTTAGTGTTTGTTTTCCTGAAACTTCTGCCAAATACTCCTAAATCAGATTTCGTGGTACCAGCCTCATGTCAGTCCTTCAGTGAACACCTCTCTCTGCGTCTTTTCTTCTGGTCCCCTCCTCCTGCAGCTATTCTTCACATAACATAGCTTTGCTCCACTCTCCTGGTCTCATTCCTTTAAACAAATTTCCTTTTATTTCCCTTTTAATGTGAAGCATCTAAGAACATTATTTTCCACATAACAAGCAATAACAAATATTTGTTGAATGTTTTGAAGTGAGCACTGTCTGCGTAGAATGAAAAGGAGCCTCCAAGAAATGGAAACAAACTGAACACACAGGAACACGGGAATAACACAGAGAAGGTCAACCAGAAGGTTGAGAGCAGTGTGGAATAAGCAAGCAAGCTAGCAGGCCTGGGTTCTGCTCCTGGGTCAGTGTGATTTGAGACTCAAGTTTCTTTATCTGTAAAACTTACGGGTTGGATTGGTGATTTGTTTGGTTGTTAAGCATAAGGTTTTAGTTAAGCACTGTCACCTACTGAAGGCTGAGCTTGAGGCTGTCAAGGCACATGTTAGAAAGGATATAAAGTTACAGTAGCTCCAGGATGACACTTCCTTAACAAATTGAGCTGGATGGAAAGAGAAACAGAATGCAAATAACTTTATCACTATATGATTTGGTATAATCGGCATCGACGCCGTGTCTGTCGACCACATCAAATTACCTCATAAGACATCGACATCATTTTGAAATATCTTTGGGAAAATGTTCTAGAATTGGAAATCTCTTAGCCAAATGTGAAAGATCACAGTAGAACTCTTGACTAATCCTATTTCTCTTCATTGTTGGGCATAAGAGGAGAATAGGACTCTAAGAAGAAGATCAAGGATCGATTTCTCACCTCATTTATCATTATCATAGTTGCCATTTTGATCCAGTACAAAATATTCTTTGTCTTTCATTTCAGCCAAACTCTTCCTCTGTGGTAGAGGGGAGCACTGTGCCTACCCTCAACAGTGACATTCCCCTGAAGTGGCTAGAGTACAAGTGTTCTCATTCTGTCTCCAAACCATTCTCCCTTCCTTTCCTTCATTTGGTGACCTTTGATGATCAAAAGAACAATAATGAGAAGGCAGTCTGGAAACATTTCTGAACATGATCAAATATGTGCATCACATGTGTAAATGCATTTGTACTCATATATGTGTGCACAAACATTTGGTGTGTATGTAACTGCATTTAAAAGGATGTTTGTACATGTGTATGATTTTGTGGACAAGTGTTGACATATCTGTCTTTGTTGGTATGTGTATTGATGTATATGTATGTGTGAAAGTGGTGTGAATATATGCCTGTGGGGTTTTATCACCCCTGAAGAATAGCAACCACATAGGTCTTTATCTGTGTTAAGGAACAAAATGCCAACAAGAATCTCTCTGACATGAATTCTTGCATCTAGCTGACAGAGGAGAAGGGTGTAATAGGGTTTGACAGCTCTGCCGACAGGGCTTAGGCTGGCCCTTGGCCCTACCCCATAGCCTTCTGCAGTTGATGTCTATGCTTCTGACACCTCTTCCCTTTGGCCTGCAGGTCCCTGTCTGGCCGCATCGTTGGTGGTGTCTGGTGGTTCTTCACCTTGATCATCATCTCCTCCTACACAGCCAACCTGGCTGCCTTCCTGACCGTGGAGAGGATGGTGTCTCCCATCGAGAGTGCTGAGGACCTAGCGAAGCAGACGGAAATCGCTTACGGGACCCTGGAAGCAGGGTCCACTAAGGAGTTCTTCAGGGTAGGAACATCCCTTGTCCTAAGGCACCTTCACAAAAGGGAACCACTACTGTCATTAAAATATCCTCACTAAGGAGCATGTGATTATAGGCAACCAGGGCAACTGCTTAACTCAGTACAAGTCAGGGAAACCAAACCCAGAGCATTTCTCAGCTTTCTACAAATCCCAGAGAAATCTACATTTCTATATTTGTGATAACTTCAAAGCTCTTGCATTGAACCAGATTCCTTACATATTCCAGACTGTGCCAAGTTCTCTGAGGGCTGCAAAGGATATGACATGCAGTTCCTTCCCTGCTCCCACACATACTTGCAATCTAATTAGTAATTGATTAGGATCAGCTTAGGGACAAAGTCCAGATCTTTGCCCTCTATGTCCCCTCCTTAGAGACTTGATGAATAAGAAGATGGTATATGGGAAACAATTACTGGAACAGGTGGTCTATTTAACAGTGCCAGGAGAGAGAAAATGTGAAGTGAGAGTGGAGGTGGTGGAGACAGCATGTGACCGGAGACAACAAGTGAAGGCAGAGGAGCAGAGAGCTTAGGAGCCTAGGGTCAGCCAGACCTAGGACTGGAACCTGGCTCCATCCTTGTTCTCTGGCCCTTAGCCTCATTGACATTATTTCCTCATCTATAGAGTCTGGAGAATAATATCTACCTCAAGGGTCATTATAAGATTAAAAGAGATGAGGCATCTAAGACACAAGGCTCTATTTCCTGTTAGGGCTTTGGGGTATACGCATTTGGGAGCCACTTTAGTGGAAGAGTAGGGATCTGTAGCCACAAACATTGACAACATTTCTAGGCACCATGAAACGGGCAGACCTGGTTGGCTCATTACATTCCAGGCAAAGGGGACAACTTGAACCAATGCCCCAAAGCAGAAAAACCTGGAGTTCCCTGGACTTTAGATATGTTCATCCTAAAAGTTGAACAAATAACACATGGAGTTACCATGTTTTGATGAAATAAAAAAATGATAAACAATTGCTACCGCTTACCTAGCACTTACTATGAATCAAGCCCTGTGCTAGCACACCTTGCGTGAATTATCTCATTTAATCCTCTCGTTAGAGAGGAGTTAGAAATTCGTTGTCCCCGTTTCATATATGAAGCTCAGAGAAGTAAAAGTAATTGCCTGAGGTCACACAGCTAATAAGTAGCAGGAGGGGACTAGACAGCAAGCTTCTATTTTGCTTCAGGCAAGGGATAGGGATCCTGTGCTGACCTACCAGGTTCTCACTGCAACTTCATGGAGCAAACCTCTGACCCAGGGTGAACCCACAGAGTGATATGCTCAGTTTCCTGATCATGGGCTCGGTGTTCTATATGACAAGCAGAAAGGGGACCAAAGTCTTAACAATCACTGATCCAGTCTCCAAGTCTAAAATCATCCACTTTCAATATATTGGAGCAAGAAGGTAACTCGGAGGTCACATGGTCAGAGTCTGTCATTTTAGAGAGCGACATGACTTGCTTAAGCTTATCCAACCAGCTAGTAGAAAAACCTCCTATAATCTCATCATAATTCTCTGACATTTTTAGCCTGCAACCAAAATGTGAAGATGTCTGATATTTGTCCGTATAGCCAGTCCTATGCCCCAGGCCTACTGATGAAGTTGGGGAACAACCAATTCACTTAACCATTACATACCCATGTTCTCATCCCCGATATCTGAGCACATCACCATCCCCAAAGCACTTTCCCATCCATGGTCTCATTTATGTTCCATCTGTGACCTATGGCAAAACAGGGGTTATATGTCCATTTTGTGGACAAGAAATTGGAATTCAGGGAACCATAACAAGTGTTGAGGATGAACACAAAATTTGTTTCCTCATTTCAGCCCAAGCATTCTTACAGCTGAACCACACTGTCCTAATGAGGTGGTGTCATTAACTAATTTTTTTTTTAAAGATTGCTCAGGTTATTAGATGGACCCATGGACAAATCTAGTCTAACATTTTCCTTTTGTAGTTGGGGAAACTAAGGCCCAGAGAAGAAAATGGGCATCCCCTAGCTACTCAGAGGCACGGCTAGGACTTACGACTTGAAAGTTCTCTGTTAATAACTATGTTAATTGACATATTTCTATTTCTTGTCCAGAGCACACTGTTAGGCATCTAGAAACAAGGCAATGTGTATTCAAAAAGCTCTGTTCACTCACCAGGCCTACTGTGCTGGTGACAATAGGTTATAGTTCATGTGCTAACTCTGGTCTAGAGTTCAATGTTGAGAGGTGACTCTGAGGGCATATCTGGGCACAGTGTAAAAGAATTCCTTGACTGGTATCAATATCTGTCACATATATAGGAAGGAAAACTGGTCTCAAGCCAGCCATATATTGGGCATTCTTATTCTAAAGTAAAACCCAAAGGAAGGGCATAATTATTAGTAGTAATTGCACCACTTATGGAACACCTACCATGTGCCTGACACTGGGTCATGCATTTTACCTTTGTTGTTATATAGTCTCCATGGCAACACTGTGCAGTGGTTGCTATCATCACCAATGTCAGGAGAGGAAGACTGAGGCTCAGAATGTTATGTTACTTGCCCAAGATCTCCCAGCTAGTAAGATCTAAAGCCTAAAACAAGGGAGGCAGCTGGTTGCAGTGAAAAGGCAAGGGTGTACAATCAGGAGACCTGGGTTCTACTCCTGGCTCTGCCACTAAGAAGCTACATGACATTGGAGAGTTCACTGCCACACTGTGGGACTCAGTTTCTTTACCTGTAGAAAGAGAGCACTGACAAGATGTGCCCCCATGAGCCCCTCCCTCTCCGTGACTTTGACCCTGAGAATTTTCCCACTAGGCCTTTGGTGGGTAGGGAGACAAGATCATCCACCACCCCCATAAGGCAGAAGGAAGGGATGGTGAGACAAGGATTCTTTTATCCCAGTCTCTGAAAAAAGTCTAGCTTCTAGTCCCCATGGCAGCCCAGAGCTTCTTGGCAGCCCCAACCCAGAGTCACTTAATCCTCCAACGACAGTTTAATTAAGATGTGTGAAGGGCTGTGAGAGCTGCAGATGACAGGAGAGATCCAAGAACAAATACCCCAAGTATGCTTCCAATCTTCCCTGCACTCATACTGCCTTCACATCCCTGGAGATGAGATTTTCCTGATAGCCTGCTCTGAGCGGCTATGAGCACAGCCCTGGCATTTGGGGCACTGGGGTGAGGCTGAGAGCAGACATATTAATTTTCTGCATACTGTTGCCCAGAGGGCTCTTCAGCTCTGCCTGTCAGCTGCCCCTTTCCCTGCCATGGCCATCCTGTCAGGTCAAATTGCATCTTGCCATTGCCTTGCTATGTGTTTTGTTAGGTTTCTGCCTGGAAGATCATCTGCATATCTGGTCACAGCTGAATTTATACATTTCTCTGTTTCCTGTGAGAGAACATGACATACATTATAGATGCTCTGATTGGTTCTGGGTATTTCCTCCCCTAACTTTGAAATTCTCCCTCCCTTTGCTCCTTTCTTTCTTCTTCTTCCTCACATGGACATTGTTGCTTGAATGATGTATCTTCATGTAAAGAATCAGGTATTTCAAACCCACAGGGGACTCAAAGGTCCCCATGCCCCAACTCCTCATGGAACAGATGGGGAAAGACTAGAACCCAGGCTCCTCACTCCCTGTCCAGTGGCCTTTCCAGATGGTCAACCATACTATAAAGCACATCATCTCATTGATCTAATTATAGACTCTACCAAATGCCTCCCTGAAATTCTCATTAACTATTTCCATTAACTTTCCCTTGAGACCAGAATTTTTCTAGGCCCAAATATCTCTATAGATCAGTTGGTTCAAACAACAACGTCTATCAATATTTTGCCAACACTTGATGTTGATATCAAGGAAATAAACCTGATATTTGTATGCAAAGAAAAATGATGCACTGTGTGTATGGTCATTTTATACTAAATGAATCTTAATCTGTGTATTAACCACTAGATTACATGAGTTGCATGACTCTAGTGTTGCCTTAAAAAAAAATAGCCTCTTATGTGTTTAACACTTGTCCATTTACAAAGCCAGACTCCAGTACCCCTAAAATACGCCTACCCTTTGTGAAAAGGATGCTCTTTAAAAAGAGCATGTCAGATGAGAGGGATGACTTGTGGTCCTGGGTTGTGGGCCTTGACTAAGGGCCTACTGTGTGCAAGGGTAAACTGTGAAAGACTCACAGAAGGGAAGATGCCCCCCTCCTTCAAATAGTATCCACATACTTGAGACCTATGCACAGCAAGGGTGTCTCCCGATCTCAGCAGTCTAGCCTGATGGTCCAGTGAGTACCTGCACAATGTGTCCTAGAGGAATATGAGCCCTCACAAGTGAGAGCCACAGAGGCCATAGAGATCAGAATCACCTGGGGAACTTCTGAAAAAGATTTTTTCTAGGCTCCACCCCAGATTGCTGAGTCAGAATCTCTAGGTTTAGAGGAGGGGCATCTTAATATTTACAATTTCTGCACATGACTCTGGTGCCCACTAGAGCTTGTGAACTATTGTCCTTGAAACTGAAGTGGCCTCAGAATACATAGGATTTGTTCTGGTCTGTGGAATGACTAGTAGGATGTGGCTGGAGGGAACAAGTGTATCCAGTGAAGGAAACAGCCTAGGCAAAGTTCCAAAGAAGGGAAGGTTCAAAATAAGTTCAGGAGGAAGGGAGGAAAAGAGTTTGGCTAGATTTAGAGGCTTTTGAAATGTAAACAGGCTACAATATTAGGCCTCAAGTTATTAGCTTTATCAGACAACAATTTACATTCTGAGATCTGTCTTGTAATATGACTCATGATCCAGAAATTCCTCAGTGTTGTCCTCTAATAATGAAATCAGATTCCAGTGATATTCAGCTCTCCACTTCTGGGCAGTATAAACATGGCCTTCTTGAACAATAGATAGGTTCTATAATGTCTTTAGAAGCTAGACAGGGTCCCATTTCTTCAATCTCCCCATATAGAAAGAGAATAAAATTTAGCAGTAATTAAAAGATTCTGAGCTATTCTGTTCATTCTGTATTTGCAAGATATTTGTACTTTGGAACCTACTGGTACTAATTAGAGCCTCTTATTTTGCAATCACTCATAATTTGTTTCTTCCTGAGCTAATCTCGCTCATGAATGTGTGATCAAGCTACACTCAGCTCTTCATTAGTGTGTGTGCCGACCTCAATTCCAAGCACAGCCAGCACTTAATTCCAGCTTTGTTCCTGTCCCCTTCCAGAGGTCTAAAATTGCCGTGTTTGAGAAGATGTGGACATACATGAAGTCAGCGGAGCCATCAGTTTTTGTGAGGACCACAGAGGAGGGAATGATCCGAGTGAGGAAATCCAAAGGCAAATATGCCTACCTTCTGGAATCCACCATGAATGAGTACATTGAGCAGCGGAAACCCTGTGACACCATGAAGGTGGGAGGTAACTTGGATTCCAAAGGCTATGGCATTGCGACACCCAAGGGGTCCGCCCTGAGGTAAGTAGCCAAGATTTGCTTCCTTGGTACTCCCTCTCCCCTCCCTACCTCAGGAATGAAGCTGCTGTGTCTGCCACATGGCTCCAGTGCCACAATGCGAGCTGTCAAGGGGGCTCTTCTTGGACAACTGTGGGCCTGGGAGATTCCAGTCACCCGAGATCTTCAACCCTGAGGTTGGAAATTGACCTGGGGGCCTCAGCTTGCTATGACTGTTGCTGCCCATGTGTTCCTCCCCACACCTCGCCTTACCCCTCCAAGTGTGAAACATCAATGAAACTTGTGTTCGTGTCATGTGATTTGTAACACACCATCCTTTACCAAACACTCCCATATCCAACTAGGCTATGAACAGAGTTCTCCAGCAACCTGAATTCTTTGAGAGAAGGTGGTTTGTAATGTTTGTCTCAAAAGAAACATAAACACATTGTCCAAATGAAAACTCAAGTAGTTTGAGTCCTAAAGGCTCTGGCTCTGGCAATCAAAATAATACCAAATGAAGGGCAGCCCCTCTTCTTTGCCAGATACTGATTTCTTTTTTTTTTAAGGTTTTACTTATTTATTTATTTATTTATTTATTTATTTATTTGAGAGAGAGAGAACACGCATGCACAGTGGGGGAAGGGCAGAGGGAGAGAGAGAATCTCAAGTAGACTCTGCCCTGAGCATAGAGCCTGATGTGAGGCTCAATCTCATGACCCTGAGATCATGACCTGAGCTGAAACCAAGAGTTAGATGCTTAATGACTGAGCCACACAGGTGCCCCCCAGATACTGATTTCTTTAGCAAGAAACAGGTAGTTCAGTAAAGAAGCAAAGTGGACTTTACTCTCACATAAAGAAGCTCTGGTATTCATTCCAAACAGCTAAGGTAGAGTCCTGTAGACTTGGGGTCAAAAGACGTAGATTTAATTCTTGGATTTACTACTCACTATCTTACCAAAGGTAAGGCATATCATCTCCCCAACCTTCAGTTTCCTCATCTGTAAAGAGAGGTTACTCATCCCAGCCCTTCCTAGGTCCAAGATAATTGTGAGTCCAAATGGGATAATCTATATAGAAGGTAACTGAAAACAGCACAGTATGAAGTAACCATGAGACGTTATGTCAATTTACGGAGGGATTAAGTCATTTTAGGGAAAGATAGTGTTCAAGGAAAAGTGAGAAGTGTTTAAAAAGGTTGCAAAAGGATGGAGAGGGGTTCCTAACCCATCTTGACATCCAGGACCACCTCTGCCTCCACATCTTGCATTAATTTCAGTAATATTGACCCCTGCAAGGTTCTAGGCACTAGGCTCGACCTGGAGCTACAATTTTGAACAAAACAGAAATAGTCTCTCTCCCTATGGAACTCTATTCTTGCAGGGAAGACAGTCAACAGGTGATTATTGCTTGATGGTTCATGACAACTATGACAGTTTCTGTGATCATTGACAAAAGGCAACCTAGAGGACACCTACTTCCAGCAATACAGCAGAACAAAAACTCCCACTACAAAACCTACATATGCAGGATAAAGTTATGACAAATAGCCTTTTAAATGGAAGTTAGGAAATCCCTAGGCCAAAACAGGAAAAGTACATCAAAACCAGAGTAAAATGCATAAGCTGACTACTCAGGGGCTGCCTTAAGCAGGGCAAAGTCATAAATAATGTGACAATCTACATGAACAAGAATAAAAAATTAAAAAAAAATACATCTAAAGACATAAAAGTAATGAAAAACATTTTTAAAAGAAAAAGACACTATCATAAGGGACCAGACATATTTAGAAAAATACCAATTAGAATTTAGAAAAGTAATAAAATCTCAGTGGAAGGGTTAAACAACAAATTAGTCAAAGTGGAAGAGAAAACTATTACACTGGGGAAAACAAACAATGGAGATAATTCCCCAGAATATCACACAGAAAGATAAAAAGATAAAAACCATGACAAAGAGGTTAAGAGACCTGTAAGAGAAAAACAAAATCCCAGGTACTTCCTTGTGAGACAAGAAAGGACAGAGTAGAGGCAGTATTTAAAGGGAACTTTCCAGTATTTATGGAAAACATTAAAAAAAAAAAAGAAAACGTTAATACCCAGATTTAAAAGTTACGTGTCCCAAGCAGATGAAAATCAGCAGCTGATTCACTTGAAACTGCAGACCTATAAAGACAAAGAAGATTTCAAACATACTTAGAGATAACAGGGTCTAATCTGGTATGCAGGATGGGTGGGACGTGGCCAAGAAGGCTTTTCCAAGAATGTCTTTTCTCAAGCTGAACTATGACAGATTAATAGGAGTTAATAAGGTAATGTGAGGGGACTAGAAGAGACAAGCAGTCCAGCAGAAGGAACAGCATGTGCAAAGACTCTAAGGTAAGGAATCATGGTACAGTTGACGAACTAAAAGAAGCCAAGTGCTCCTGGAACATAGGTAATAAAAAGGAGAAAAGGCTAAGTTGAGATTGCAGAATGACAGGGAAGGATTTTATAAAGAATTTTTGTCCTTATTTGAAGAGTAATGAAAATACACTGGAGAATTTTAAGTAATTTTCTGAAAATGAGGAAACAAAGATATCTGGAGGAGTACAAACAACAGAATGTACCTAATGAAGGGAAACCAAATAGCCTGGTATTTATCAATCATGCATTTTTGCCTGGAACAACTTAAAAGAGTCTCTGTACAAGTTTAGACAAAGTTCAAAGGGGATCCAGAGGAGAGTGCTTTGCAAGGAAGACACTTTTATCTCAGAAACTTAAACAACACTACCCTAGAAAGTCCCAGAGTAGAGAATGAGCTCTTACAGGTCTCAGAACATCAATGATGCTGCAATACTACAATTTACTGAAGGCTTTATGAGTCAAGGATATTATTTGATCTAAATACTTGGATATAAAGTTAGGAAAACAAGGCACAGAGAGGTGACATGATTTGTTTAATCAATAGAGTACTTCTGCCACCACATCCCACATATTGGTGCCTAGAACAAGGTGACAAACTCAGAAAACATTAGATGTTTGAGTGACATGAACCTAAAGCTCAGGTCATCTGGCACTCAAATGACTTTCCACTATAGTAAAATCTACCATTGAGTGAATGCCTATTCCGTGCTACAGAGTGTGGTATATGCACTATCTTGTTTAAACTTCATACCTATGAAGTACCATTATCCCCACTTTACAGATGGGGAAACAGAGGCACAGATTTAAGTTACCTGACCAGGTTGACACAACTAATAAGAAAGTAGCCAGATTTCAAGCTCAGATAGTCTGATTGCAGAGCCCATGCCTGTGACTTACTCTAATGCTTCACTGGGCTTTATGACTGACAGCACCATTAAGGCAGGAGACTGGACTTACATCAGGTTCCCGGTACCTATTCTCATGGGTCAAGCAATAGCCAACAACTGAAAAAAGCTAAAAAACAAATGTTTGGAGCCCAGAGCATCCACTCACTACTGTGAAGACAAAAGGTGATAGTGATAGTCATTTTAATGCACCAAATACCACTTCTTTGAGCAGTAACACTGCTTTAATGGGTTTTGCATGCCTGAAGATTCTTTGGGGATAAATGTTGAAAGTAATTCAACTCTGTAACAAAGAAAACCCTATTTCTTGTTTACATCCTGTAAGATATAACAAGCTATTTACTGATTTTGAGAAAGCAAAAGAAAGGGAAAAGGAACATATTCCAGATATAGATCACTGATAGTGGATATGCAAGTCAAGAATACCCAACTGATGGCCCCTTGTGCCCAGCTCTCTCCCAGTGCTCCATTCTCTCCAGTGACAACTTTTATGATAGTCATGGGGTCTCCTGACTCAAAACCAGAAGAGTAATGTTCATCCTAACAGGACCATGAGTTTCTGACCTAGGAAAATCCCTTTTCCCTCTATGGGATTCTCCCTCTCATCTCTGTATTAAAATGAATCATCCTAGCAACCAATAGTGTAGAAGTTCCATGAAACATAGAATTGCAAAATGGTTACAGAAAATATGAGTGCGCACATGCGTGCGCGCACACACACACACACACGCACACACATACACACACACTCCAGCCAGGGTTCCATCTTATCTTGGCCTCACATGCCCCAAAGGGTGCCATTTCCCCAAGGCATGGTCAAATACCAAAAAGTCATGGCAACCCAAATGTCACACAGACCTGTGTGCCTGCTCCAGAAGTCTTCAATCCACTGCTTTGATCCCAGGAACGCGTTCTGCATGACAGAGGTTGGAAGTAAGGAACCAGTAAGATGTGGTAGCTGTTTACTGCTTCCTCCAGTCCCCATTTAAAAGGAGCTTATATGTGCTCAAGATAATATTGAAGCAGAAATCAATTTTAATTCAGATTATTTAGAAGTACAGCAAATACTTTTTAAAACACTGTTCGGCCATTCACAAAGCTGTGAGCTCTGCAAAAGTCTTTAGAGAAAGCTGCTTCAGCACACTGCGGGCATCGTCACAGACTTCCCTTCTGCCCTGTAAAAGTGGGGCTTCCGCAGCCCTCAGAGGCAGGTGTGCTCCAGGTTTAGTGCCTGTGCCTACATCAAAAACGAGTTCACTGGCAGCCCTTCTCCATCACTTGCTCTCCAAAAAGTCAGACCTCACCATACCTACAGGGCATTCAGCCCCTTCTAGCCTGCCTGGAAAAAGCTCCAAGTTCCTCCAAGGCAGATCACCCAGCTCTGCGTCAGAAGGTTGGAGAACTGATATCTAAGGTCCAACTGTTCCTCTAAAACTTGCCAAGTGTACTTGGCAGAAACCAGGCCATGGTCCCTACAGAGTGTTAAAAGGCTGTGTTAGTGACAGAATGGTGTTTTTGTCTCTTCTGCTCTGGAAACAAATACTCTGATGAAGTGAAGTAGTTCGATGCTTGATTTTCCATTTGGACAGGTGGTGTTTCTTTGAAACAGATGCTGTTTGTTGGCTGTCACTGCATGTTTGGGGCTGGATAAGGGGCTGAATTATGTTTCCAAAGCCCTTAGGTTATGGATAAAGACCTTCTAAGCCAATGCC